CCTATCTTACGCTGTGATATCAGTGTCAGGCTTCTGGTGTGACTCTTCGGTGCTCTTTTTGGTTCATTTATCGTGATTCTCCAATGCAAGTCACATTGTCTCCTTCTCCTCTACTCCTCTTCATGGCATTTCTCTTGCTTGCTGTGGAATTGTCCTCCTCTGCAAGCGATTACTGAATCCGAGGCATCAACTTGGTGATGTTAACCATCAGTGGGGAAAACCAGCCTTCAGTCTCAGGCAGTTGGCCTGCCAATCAACAATGGGATGGTGGGAGAGGATCCAGAGCAATACCCCTCCCATTCCTGCTTTGCTTGGAGACCTTTCAGAGACATTAGTCTAGCAGCTGTTAGAAATCAGTTGCAAGGCTAGATCTTCCTTCTGCTGTAGAAATGCTCTCAGTGGGTATTGCTGCAAGGACTCCTCATTATGAGTGATTTTTAGGTGCCGTCATGGGATGTTACCACCTCCCCGTGACTTCAGCCCCACATGCTAGGATCTCCGCCTACAGCTTTGAGGATAGGGACTTGGCCAGATTAGTAGATGAAATAATTGTAATTGTAATTATTGGAAGCTGGTGTTTTGCCCCAGTGTGGTGTATTTTATTGTCTCATCGTTTTCTTTGAATATCGTGGCATTCTTCTATCTTGTTTGCCACCCAGGGTTGCTTGGCGAGCAGGTGGCCATATACATTTAATAAATAAATCAGCTAGGAACTGGAGGTTCTGAGCCAAATCCGTCCCTGGTGCAAGGGGGGAGTTATTCACCATTTTAGGTGGGTTGATTTGGTCAATTCGACCCTGTTCACTAGACTTGCTCCATTTCTGGTTGAGAAATGAATGTTTAGATCATTTGAGATGTGACCCGATTTTCATCCTCTCCACCTCTGGGACTAAAGAGAATTAACTTGAGCGTTGGCGCTGCCAAGTTCTTTTGATCTGCAATTGAGAAACCAAGATCAACCAAGGTAAGCTTGGAGCCCACCTCAAAGGTGGGACAAATCCAAAGCGCTGCTCCTCTTTTCTTTGGGGAAGGAGGAAGGAAAGGACAGCAGAAGAAAAGTGGATGAGTGGCCCAAAGTAGAAGAGAGGACCTTCCTTTTTGTGGAAGAGGGGGATTCAGGAAGTAAGCGGTGCTTTTGCCTGACTTGTAAAGTTCCTCCTTTCGGCCCCAACATGAAAGGCAAAAGTTCTCTGCTGCTTTAATTCCTCTCCAGAGATGGGCATATGCCAGTTGAAAACACAGAAGGCTAGGGTGGGTTGTAGGCTTGGATTTCAGTGCATACTGTGGGTACGAGGAAGTCAAATGTGAGTGAACGCCTCAAATTAGATCTGTGAAACCTTTTAGATACATGCAAGACACTGGTTTGATTCACAATGCCAGATGCTGGTTTGTTTTATATTTGGCTTAATGTGCTCTGTAAACCCAAGTAATGTGGGGCTAAACAGACTTGTGGCTTAACATGTGTTGTGAACCCAGTCAATTGAGGTTTATTCACATTGGGATTTAAAGCGGCTCTCTCGATGCCATCCTCTGAACCTGGCCTGTGGGTCATTGCATGTATAAAGCGTAAGATTTTGTTGTCAAAGCAGCAACTTCTGCAGTTCCTTATGGAATAAAGAAGTTGGATTAACTTTCTAAAGATTCCCCGTGTAGCTGCTGGGAATCCATCATGCTTTTGGCATGATGAAAGCCTGGGGATGCTCTTCTTGTCTGCTCAGACACATCTCATGTAGTAGTGAATGATGCACAAACTCTCATGAGGAAGCCTTGTCCAGCAATACATGGGGTTGGATGGTTGTAGGAATCTGGCTTGATACAGAACTTAAACTTATCCCTGTTCTTGTCTGAAGACCTATCCTGTTTCTCAGCAACCAGGAGGCCTTAGTATCTATGGTTTTGGAGGCAGTATCTAACCATCCTGGCTAGCAACTATTGATAATATTTCATCCTCTGTACTCGAAAGCTGTCTGAGAGGGCCACCATCACATATCTTCTACAAGTTCTTTCATTCAGAAACATGCTCTGCAAACAAGTTCTGTGATCCGTCCTCTATTTCCATCCAGCATCATTGGATGACCAACCTTCTAGTATTTTGAGAGAAACAATTCCCTATTCATTTTCTCCCCCCGTCCATTTTCTCCAGCTCATGTCCCTTGCCAGGTGAATTTCTTCAATTCTTCTTTTGTTCCCCCACTACCACATTCCCCAGCTCTTCAGTTACTTTTTTTTTTGAAGACCTATACCTAAGACTTAGCCCGGCTTTCCAAATGAGCTTGTATAAAAAAATCAGTTGCCATCTCTACATTCTGTCCTGCAGGGTTATTATGAAGATAAATGGAAGGAAAAGGGTATGTCCTATTTCTGCTTTCTGGGCAAGAGATATACTAGCAGGTTATGAAGAGGAGACAATGGTTTAGAATCAGTCATGGTTTAGTACAATTGGGGCATTCATTTAGTAGTTCCAGTCCTTCAAACCATAAGACGTGGACTTTCTACTGTGAGGTAGGTGAGCATTCAAATTGTAGCTTGGTTTCTTGGCCAAGCAGGCCCTGGAACAAATAATCCACATTATTTCCCATCTCTGCATGAAATTTGCTCCTTTCCCCTTGGAATTGCCCTTACAAATTGATCAGACTATTTCAGTGCAGGCTTAAATGAAAAAGAGGTGGACTTGGCAATTTTAACAGCCTCAAAGCCTCCAAAACCACAGTGCGGTTCTGTAACACAAACATTTCTGATCTCTTGTTCATTTTTATTTTTTCTGTGCTCAGCAGTCGTCTAAGCGGTCTGTGACTTGAATCAGCATAACTGTGGTCCATCTTAAAATCATATGGGAAGAAACGAGAGAGTAAGGAGGATGCTAGTTAACTGAAGTTAGACTAAATTTTTTGAAATGGTCATAACAGGACTGATTTGGGGAGAGTGGAAGGTCAGCAAGTAAGAATTTAGAGAAGTGTTTTTGAAGGCTAAGGAAAAAGGATGCCAAACATGAAGCAGAAGGGTGAGAAATCTAAGGATATATCTATCTCCCCAAAGGAAGGGTGCTATGTCAAAGTATGGAACTTGCTTTATTTATTGCTATAGGCCAGGGTTTACTAAATCCTGATTTACTGAATAAATTACAGTTGAGTTGGCACAACGTGCTAAGCCATAAACCATGCTTTAATACCCAAAATGGTTTAAGTTTCTGCATCATGTTAAGGCAAAACTGAACAGATCGCACCATTCCGTTTGTGACCTCCATGTCTTTGCCAAGCCAGGTTTAAAGGGAGAAACAAGTATCTTAAAGCCTTAACATTCCAGAACTCACCTCTCAAAATGGCCCAGTGGGATACCAGCCTTTGAAATACCACACAAAGTGGGGCAACTCTTGAGTTGGTGAAAGTCACTTGCTGCTGCTCTCAGCTTTCACCTGGTTAATTTGGGTTTAGTTTATAGCATGTTCCCAGTCTTCATTGTTTGTGAACCATGCCCAATGGGCTTAATGTGTTGGCAAAGCTTATTAACTCAGTAAACCATGATTTAGCAGAGTGGGCGAGCTCAACCAAACACTGGAACACCAAGAACCATGCGTTGCTCCATTGGCTGCTAAAGCCTTACTCCCTCAAGAAATGTGGGTTTTGCTCAACACAAGGAACAAAGGCATCATAGAATAGCGCTCAAGGAGTGAGGAACAGCTTCCAGCTTCAATCAAGTGTCTCTTCTCCCAGCAAATGCCTGGCAGATCTGGGCTATCATCACCAGTAGCTGTGGGAAGATGTTGGGCTGGTGTTGAGTCTCCAAACTGCCCTCATAACTATCTGCAATTCATAACTATGTGTGATTGTGACTCTCACTTCATCAATCTCTGGGTTGCAGCAACATTGAAATGTGATGTTGCTGTATGGGGTTGTAGATGTTCCTCAACCGGGCTGGCCAGAGTGTCCATGAAAAGTCCCCTCATAAGTCATTCTTTTGAGCCCATTCAGTTGCATCCTGAGCCATGCTAGAATTGGATGAAAAGTGTTGAAAGTTGAGTTGATTTGCAGTCTGATATTCTACACACCTTTTTGGCAGTCATTCTTAGAGAAATCAATGGATCTCAGTTCCATGGGGTGTGTTTGGGAACAACAAGCAAGCCTCAAACCGAAGAATCAGTAGGGTGACACAAAACGTTTGGCAGAATAAAAGTGCAATAAATCATAGAATCATATTAAGTTGCAAAATGCCACCCCTGTTTTACAATTAGCAGATCCTCATGAAGCTTTGCAAAATAAAAAGGGCTAGAATTGAGGTACTGTCATCCGAGAATTGTCTTCACTTAAACACTGCCTTCTTTGGACCAGGGGAGAAACAAGCAATAGAAATAGTGTGTTTTGGAATCAGAAGGGGAGGGAGATAGATAGATAGATAGATAGATAGATAGATAGATAGATAGATAGATAGATAGATAGATAGATAGATAGATAGATAGATAGATAGATAGATAGATAGAATGGTGTACCTTGTTATTGGCCACATAACGCAAGGACAAGGGTACCTATTATCCCCAGCCAGGCTTATTCGCTAATAAAAAGGTATCTGCCTTGAGACAAAAATGTCAAAAGACTAAATATTAATAGTAAAGCTTTTTAGTGCAGATAATTGCAAACCACCCCAGTTAATGAGATGGTCATCTAATTCACCCAGTGGTGAATCGTTATTTTCCTAAGTGTTATTTATATGATTTATAATCTGGGTTTTCCATCCAGCCAGACATTTGCCATTTTTCTGAGGTATACTGAAGTGTTTATCTTGGAATGTTAAAGGGGTGCCCTGTATTTCTAAAATGGTATTGAGGCTCGGGAAGGGAAATCTGAAGGAGATTTTTCCAGGGACAACGGGTTCCCTATTTTTGAAGTCAGTTTAAAGTTTAATTATTTTTTCCCCTTCTGGATCACTGATCCCCTCCCAAGTCCTGTTCGCAATAACAAAACCAGTGCTGTTCCACTTTCTGCGTTCCTTAACCCTGGTCACTTCAGCTATACACAGAATGGGATTTTGCACATGTTGGACAGAAACAAACGGATCAAGCCTCGTCCAGAAAGATTCCAGAATTGCAAAGATGTCTTTGATTTGATCTTAACGTGCGAAGAAAGAGTTTATGATCAAGTGGTAGAAGGTAAGGCCTGGCCTTCAGGAGTTTCAAAGGCGGGTGGCTTGGGATTGCAAGGAACGTCAAGCATGGGGCTTTGTAATGTTATGTGGGCATGAGCTTGGGAGACAGGAGGAAGAGCCGCAGCCAAGGCAACGGTTGGATAAGAGGCAGCTGAGCCCACAGAAGGAATGGGGGTGTGGAAAGCGTCTCAGAAGGGACCTTCCCTAATTTCTTGGACTGTAAAGGCGACTGGGGGGAGAGATGTACTTTCAGACTTTGAAGATTCTGTTAATGTATCCTTACAATAAAGTAGAATTAGTTCATCTGGGTATGCTTCCCGTCTGGACTATCTCGCAAGGCCAACAGGCTTGGACCTGCGGAGACAGAAATTCAGTCCCCACACAGCCACCGTGCTCCCTGGATGCCCTTCAACCTGCCAGCCCTCCAGTGTCTCATTCTGGCCTGTCCCAGAGGCCCATGGGGAAGATACCTGTGCAGGTGGAATTAGTGGGAAAATTGGAACTCCGAATCCAGCATTGCCTATCCCAAGCAAGAAGGCTTTGGTGTTTCCCATGTTCTTCAAAGGAGGAAGGCTGGTGGTCTCAGAAGTGAAAAAAATGGCCAGGGACAAGTGGTCTCATGCCAGGGTTTATCCACTTGACCGCCCCGGAGTACATTCAAGAGAAGTAGCCCAGCCCTGTCTCCAATGGTGTTAATGAGTCACAATGCCAAGAGGTAGATAGAACTTCGATGCTGTTTTAGGGTGGCGGCTTGCAGAAAGGAAACCTTTGGGCTTTTTTTAGAAAAGAAGGCAAGGCTAGCTCTTAATTTCTGCCTTTCCTCCCCTGGTGCCCTCTCCCCCCCTCTGGTAATGCACTGGCTTCAAAGAAACAGCACAGCAGAGGGCGTGAAACCACACTAGCGTCCAAGGATGAAGCAAGGAGATTTTTAAAAAGCCGGGACGGCCTGTCATTTTGCATGCAGGGCTGTCTGGGGGGAAATGCCCTGGAGGGAGGCTTGCACACTCTACATGTCTGCGAGGTTTGAGGATGAAGTTAACATTTGTAGCCCCAAACCTTGAAAACTGCGAATAGCGAAGGGGCTTTCTCAGTTTTGGCCATGCAGAGCACTGGTCTGTGGCTGCAAAGCAGTAGGAAAAGGTCAGTCCTTAGGGGGTTCTGTAGAAGAAATGAAAGAAATATACACACATGCACGTACGCCCAGAGGAAAGTTTGGCTGCAGCTGCCAGCCAAGCAAAAAATAAACCCTGTCTTGTGCCCAGATTGTGTGACGTTTGTCCCTGTTGCCCAGCCCTCCTTGATGAGAATAGTTTAGGGAGAAAAAAAAAAATGAGGGACCCAGAACTCACTTGACATCATGCATCTCTTCTTAAAAGGCACAAGTAAAAAGAAAAAAGAAGATCTTTCCTAGACTCAGGTCTTGGAGAACAACTGCTTGTCTGCATAAACAAATGTGGGCTAGTAAGTGAAAGATTAACTTGTACAGTCCTGGCGTCCAAAGAAGTCTATATGGTATTTTAATTCACAGTGCCTGAAATTCTGCACATCCAGTTGATCACAAGGTCCCCATCACCCATTTTGTGGAACAGATCTCCCCTGCTTTTCTCTCCCTTCTACCAGAGAGCATGGCTCACCTTCTGGAGTTCCAACTCCGGTTAGTGGCCATTCACAGTTCGATGAACCTTACAAAGTAGATTAAAGAACAAGCCGAAGTCTCCAATTCCATGTTTCCTAGGCAAATTGCATTATATCCAGAATTCTGTTTCCTAAAAACTTCAGGGTTCAGCTTTCAGCTTTCTTTTAAAGTTTTAAAGGCAGGTTTCTAGCCCTCATGATGGTGCACATAGGTATACTTTCAGGTGGACCCCCCAGAAAACAGAAGGGGTGCTTTGCCTTTTGCTTTTTATATCTGTCTCTCTTTGTCCAACCTGCTTAAATTGTGCAAAACCAGACATGTATAATGTGTGCAGATTTGGAGGTTTTCATTGGGTGGGCTCAGAATCTAAATCCTGGGGCCCAGCACACACCCAAACATGCACACTCTCTATTTGACTTTCTTTCTTGGTCTACAGTGAAACAGAAGAGGTTTCTTTCTTTTTCTTAGCCTTGGGTTTTTTTTTCTTTCTGTCATCTTAGATTTAAATTCTAGAGAACAGGAAACATGTCAGCCTGTACATGTAATAAACGTGGACATTCAAGATAATCACGAAGAAGCAACTCTGGGCGCTTTCCTTATCTGTGAGCTGTGCCAGTGTGTAAGTCAAACAATCTCTTACTGAAATGTTATTTATTTTATTTTGTTTATATATCAAATTTGTCACCACCCATCTCGTTAAGAAACAACTCTGGGCATTTTACAAAGCAGTTAAAGTCAATTAAAATTACAATGTAAAGTAATTGTACATAAATAGAAAATAAATATGATCCAAGGATAGATGTTAAAATTGGCAGTAACCCGGGGAAGGTCATCAAGGCGCCAGCCATCCCCAGGATTGGGTAAGATTCTTGTCACCCCATGCAAGCTGGGAGAGCCAGGTCTTTCATCCTTTCCAGAAAACTGGGAGGGTAGGATATTCCTCTGCTGGTTCTGATCCCGCATCCTGCTAGCGTAACCCCTTTGCAATCTATTGGGCCACATTTCCATTTTATCCCATCCAGCTTGGCTCAGTGCCTCCCACTCCTGATAAAAGACACTCAAGTATTTCTGGGAAATTCACAGGCAAGGTGTGAAAGCAGAGCTGTTCACCTTCAAATTGTCCTGAGCATCTGTTATTTGCAGGTCTACTGCCTCTAAATATGGAGGTTTCATTTAGGGTTTTGTAGGCAGAGGCTTGGCCAGTCCAGTCCAGCATCCAAATTCTGGCCAGTCTTCCTCCTCCCAGTCCCCAGCATCCGTCCAAGTGTAAAGATAGGATTGTGCACGCTCTCTTGCTTGTGTGAATTCTCACTGCACACCTCCGTCACGTCGGGGTGGGCAGAAAAAGGCTCAAGATTAAGGTTCCATTGCTCCTGGATGCTGTTCTTTAACCTGGCAGTTTTAGTGTAAAAGGAATGACGGCTTGTCCGTTGTCCCGGTCCTCTGGGGACCTCAAGCCACAACAGTGAAGTCTACTGCCTCTGGGTGCGCGGCTGCTTTGTTCCTCTCCTCTGCACGCAGCCAGTCAGAGTCTCAATTTTCTCTGACTAATAGCCCCAGGGGAAATAGGACGGGATAAGGACTTCCCATCTGAACGCCTGCACTTCCTGGCTGGCTGTTGTAATTATTGGGACTCATTGTTATTATAGTGGATGAATGGATGGATGGATGGATGGCCTGATAAGTAGGTAGGTAGGTAAATCGATAGGTAGGGAGAATGTGGAATGAGCGTCACCTTCCTGCAACGTCTGCACACAGCGCCAGCTGCACTTTAAGTAGGGTAGCTTACAGAAGCAAGTTTGGGGACTGAATTCTCCTTTCCCCAAGCGCCACGCGTACCCCAAAAACCAGGCCCCTCTATTGACGTCTGAATGAACCGTCCAGAAAAAGGCGTGGGAAAAATTCGGGGAGGAGTCACAGCACCGCGGCATATCTTCTTTGCTTCCCCTTGCTGAGATTGCTTTTTGCTTTTCTCCTTTTTAAGCAACTCGCTAGTCCTCGTGGGAGATGCCAAAAAGGCATAGAAGATTAAGATAGCTTTGAGGGCCAGAAAAATCTGTCTCGGGCCCAAGGTTTCTGGGCTCACATGTAAAGCGGGGGTCTTCTGGACACTGCCCAATTATGATCATGAATGATTAAAAATAGAAACTATTTCTCTGGGGGGAATTAGGAAAAAGCATATGGGAGGGATGTGTTCCTCCAGCGTATTAAAATTTTTTGTTAAATTGTAACCTTTACTGTAGCAAAAGGGGGAAATGACTATATAAATTGGGGAGGGGGGGATTGAAGTAAAACATTTCTTCTCCAATTTAAAGCAATTAAATACAGCTATCTTATGTTCCCCCCCCCCCCCCCCC